CTAAAATGATGCCATTCCAATTAGCATCACCCATTATTTCTTCTAAGTCTTCTTCCTTCCTGCATTAACTCCCAAACAAGTTTCTAGACACTGAAAATCCACCGTATGCTGGAGGTCCTAGCACACAAAATAACTGTTCTCTTTACTCAAGCCCTTCCATGTATCTCCTTCACCCTACGTTGCCCTCATCTCAAAGGTTTTATGATGACCTGTGTGCAGATTTGAGGAGCAGGCCTGCAGCTAGTGGTTCACATCACATGGTCAATTGCAAAAACTAAAAATAAACTGTCAAAACTTGACATTCATTATTTATTCAGTGCACAGAAGAGAAAACCCATTATTCAAAGATACTAAAGATTTTATTTATTACCTCTGGAAAAAAGAAACCACAAAATATAGACCGAGTGCAAACACAGATCAATAGACATGCTTTATAATTATGATGTAATATACATGTATCTGAAAGAAAAGAAATTTTGATTCTTACACCCATTATAATAATTTTTTTCTATCCTTGAATATTAGAGAAAATAAATACTATATGCTACATATTAGGCTGACCCATAAAACAAATCAAAGTGAAAAAAAAAATTTGGTATCAATCTACAAAGATTTTTATAGACATAAAACATATTAGAAAGAATTTTTTAATATAATGAGGGAAATTCCTAAGACTCAATAAAGTGCCAGTCAACCTAGTAACTAAATGGCCGTACTGGCACAAAGCAAGCATTCATTTAAGTCAGTAACCCACCTCCAGTACTGGCTAATAGCTGACACATAAGCCAGAATATCTGAAGAAGAGGACCATCAGACATTTTGTGCCGAACTGGGACATGCAACTGGGTTCACCACAGATGCCAAGTCACAAAGCAATCAACTGTGACGGTCTCAGCAACTCCTGCAACTTCATCTCCTTCTGTCACTTAGGGGCCATATTACAAGACAAGGCCTTGCTAGTCACACAACACAGTCTCCGCAGAAGGACTACTTATGGGCAGCTTGTCCAGCAAGAAGCTGCTACCATCTTGCTTGGCCACTCCTAGTCCATTACAACCCACACACAACGGTATTGCTAAAGCATGGGAGGAATACCCAATGCACTAGCTGAACAGGTACTGGGTATAATTAAGACAGAGTAGTTTAAAACACCTCTGCACACCCTCATGCAATTGCAGAACGGCACATCGTTCCACTCCGGCGTGCAGAACAACAGAGCCTGGAAAAATCAACAACTGTCTACGGGGCATAGGCAGTTTGTGGCAAAACCTTCTCCTTCACTGACACAGCCTTGGCCCAAAACGCACTGCGAAAAAGAGCTCATTTCAGGTTAGCAGAGCATAAAATTATTACAGCAGTAACTGAAACAACAACAAAAAGAATCTGGTCCTGAGGAGACTACTTAACTGGCTTGTACTTTCAACTAGCTTTAGTCCAAATTCCCCAGGTTCTTCATTATTTCCCTCAAAAAAAGCACTTTGCTGCTGATGTATTTACATACACGTGAATGAGACGACCTGAGGCTTTTGGCTCATGTTACAAAAATTATGTTATATCATTTGTCAGACTAGTAATGATTCCTGTTAAGATTTAGCACTGAAGCTAAGGAACTATTTTTGACACAGGATCACCACCACTTCAGTGTTTGTTTGCACACAGAGGACTGTTATTCAGAACCGCAATCATACACAAAAGATTATTTCAGTTATGTGATTCAGATACACTACACAAAATTGAAATATGTCAGTTTTACAAACAATTACTTTCCCACACCATGACTTAAACATACAAAATAGTTTCATAACAAAAGGGGGCATTAATTTTTAAGGTAAGTACATTTTTCTGTGTGTGCATAACATGCATTTAACCTTTCTTTTATTTAAAAACACACAGAAAACTACATGCTAGTAGCTATTCCATTTAGCAGTGGGATTTTTATTTTGTGGTTCAAGAAATTTTCACAATGGACTTCTGCCAAATTTTGTTATATACTTTAAAAAACAGAAAATACTCAGAATAGCCTTCTGTAATAAAAGTAAATAAGCATATACTGACCCTGAATGAATGCCCGGGCAGTTAGTCACACAAAATCTAGTAAAGACACGACTAGACTTCTGCCTGAACTAGAATTACTTTAAGACCAATCTGACATACTGAACTTCAGTCATAAGTGCAACTGAAATGTAGATGCATCATAAGTCATGTTAGTGGTAGGCAAATCTATAGTAAAAATAATAACTACATTTTAATTACACTACATTGTGTTTTCTTTCTACCTAAGTCACCTTTCCTCTACAAAATAAAATAAAACAAACATAGCATCTTATGTCCAAAAGAAAGTTTTCTTGCCACAGTAAATTATCCAAGGTAACACAGAACAAGACTGTCTCTATATACCTATAGGAAAGCTTTACAGTATCAACCAATTGGGTGTTAAAACTGCAGCTGAAATTCAATGTAAATAAATAGGAAAAGAAGTATATAGTGAAAGACAATCTGTACTTCACACGGATGATAAAAAGCCCCGAGCTGACTATGCACTAATCAGGTCTTGGGGCTGTAATGGAAAATCTCAGGTCTGTGGCTTAGTACTGATCAGAAAGACGTTCTGGGAGCAGCACAGGATGAAAACAGAAAATGGCCCTATGCTATAATGTATATAAATGGCCAAACTACATTTTCAGTGCTAGGTACATCCTGGCTTGACGCAGCCAATCTGTGTGGTGTGGTCGACAGGTTGCAGGGAAGGGATGCCATCCAGGGGGACCTGACAGGCTGGAGGAGTGGGCCTCTGCGAACCCATGTGGAGTTTAACAAGGCCAAGTGCAAGGTCCTGCACATGGTTCGGGGCAATCCCAAGTACAAATACAGGCTGGGGCATGAAGGAATTGAGAGCAGCCCTGCAGAGAAGGGCTTTGGGATGTTGGTGGACAGAGAATTGGACATGACCCGGCAATGTGCCTTGCAGCCCAGAAAGCCAATGGTACCCTGGGCTGCATCCACAGCAGCATGGTCAGCAGGTCGAGGGAGGGGATTCTGCCCCTCTGTTCTGCTCTAGTGAGACCCCCCCTGCAGTACTGCCTTCAGCTCTGGGGTCCTCGGCACAAGGACATAGACCAGTTGGAGCCAGTCAGAGGAGGCCACAAAGATGATTTAAGGGCTGGAGCACCTCTCCTGTGAGGACAGGCTGAGAGAGTTGGCGTTGTTCAGCCTGGAGAAGAGAAGGCTCTGGGGGGTCCTTACTGTGGCATTTCAATATATAAAAATGATATATCTGAAAGATGGAGAACAACTTTTAGCAAGGTCTGTAGTGACCGGACAAGGGGCAACAGCTTTAAACTGAAACATGGTAGACTTAGACCGGACATAAGGAAGACATTTCTTACAATGAGGGTGGTGAGGCAGTGGCACAGGCTGCCCCGAGAAGCTGTGGATGCTCCATCCCTGGGAGTGTTCAAGGCCAGGCTGGATGGGGCTTTGAGCAACCTGGTCTGGTGGAAGCTGTCCCTGACCATGGCAGGTCAGTTGCAACTACATGATCTTGAACGGTCCCTTCCAACCCACACCATTCTGTGATTCTACGATTCTCCATCCCAGAAAGGACAGGGCAGAGCTGTAAGTTACAGAGAACAGCAATGAAACAAACTGAAAGGTGTAGAATGGTTCCTCTGTATGGCTACAGTTACACATGCTGGGATTCTTCAGCCTGGAAGAAAACAGAGGGGGGAAATATGAGAGAACCTATTGTGAGAAACTCATCCAGATGAGTCAGTGGAAAGGCTCTCCAGATCACCTTTCAGGCTGAGAATGGTGCTTATAGGAGAAGGACACTTGCTACGGGAAGCAGGGAAGAGCATTTTGGGATTGTACAAGACTTGTTATGGGATGACTACAGGAGGAACGAAAGGCAGGGAAAGGGATGAGTAAGCATGGGAAAATGAAGCAATAAGCTGATAAAAGGGCCAGTCTGGCCAGTACATCTGCCTGTCCATGTCCTGTGCTTGATCACTGCAGTCTCCTGTTTTCGCCTTAAGCTCCATTTCTAACTATTTTCCTGCATGAGGTGACTCTGTATCTGAGTGCATGTGTGTGTATGGAGCTCTAAGGGCCATCAACTGGATGATAGACCACAGGCCACAGGGGCCCATGTGTCTGTGGTGCTAGCAACTGGACTGAATGAGTCTGCTTGGTAAATATCAAGCCACACCAGCCAGTGAGCAGGAGAAGTCACCTGGCAGCCAGCTATCAATACAGAAGTAAGTCTGGGCTGGATAGGTGAGTTTCTGTGAGTGAGACAACTGGAGGAGTTAAGATACCGAAGGGGTCAGAAGGTCCAGGCCAACTACCCCCATAAAGTCTGGGGGTCTCTGGAGAGACCCATTTGGGTGTGTCCATGTTTCTCAGCATGAGATAACTGGAGGCAAGAGGATCCAAGGGCCAGTCACTGGATGAACTGTGTCTAAGCCATTTTCCGGAGGGATCCATATTGTAAACATGTGTAATTTCCCACTAACAGACCTTCATCTTGTTCAGCCAGAGTGGGAAACAGGATGAGTCTGTGCTGCAGCACCCATTGGTGCTGTTTGTGTCTGCATCGGTGCTGAGTGTTTCTGTTCGTGTTGATCCGTGCATACTGCAGGTTTTGTGCATGCACTGCTGCATGAGGTTGCATGCCTTGACACTGGTCAGACATAGCAGCGTGAAGCTGCAGGAGATTCATCAGCCCTGAACAGTACAATATTAATGTGCTGATTAAAAACCCAAAGGTATTTCTTTATGATAATGTGTCATGAGTCCTCAAACTACTCGCAACAGCCCCTGGAGACTTTAGAAGTAAGCATGTAGGGATTCAAAAAAGCATTTGACAAAGTCTGAGAAGAAAAATGGCTATTAATTGCAAAGGCATGAACTTCAGCTTAGGGTATCAGGACTGCAAGCTGCTAGAGCCTAACACAGCATTTGTGGAAAGCATCACAAACACCTTGTTACAATACACTTACCCAGCCATCAGCTGTTGACACTAAGAGAGAGTGGAGACTGGGCTCAATGAACTTTTGATTCATGGTGGTCAAGCTTGCATCGACATAATCAATACTCAACTCTTGCTACTGTTAGAAGAATGAAGCCAGCATCTCATCTTTCAGGCTAGGAAGTCAAGATGTAAACATCACCTGATAGCAACAAATTGCACCACATGGCATCACTACAGAAACATGGCAATCTCTTTTGTTTATTACAACAAAAAATACTCTAAAATGGAAAGTCTCGAGCCCTATGCAACCCTCAGCAATAAATTGTAGGTAAATACAGACCCAGATAACAACATGTGAGAAAAGATAAAGTGATTCGTGTCA